GTGTTTGCAGAAATATATTTTTATCACGTCTAAAAACGTTTTTTTGCCCCCCATATTTAGTAGCTTTTAAGTCCCAAAATGTGTTTCAGGTTTTGAAACTTGTTGCTGCAGCTATTCTGAGGGGAGCTGTAAACACTTTGGTTGTGCAGGCAACATCATGACGACTTAGGCAAATCAGCTCCACTGATGTTTTATTTGTATGCTTTGTGAGAAAATGGCAGACACAGATCATTATTAATAAAACCTACTCAGTTCTAAGGTTTTCTCTTTGCGTTTAGCTTGTTTTATTTTTCCACTCACCCTTTTAGGGTGTCATTTCTTTTAGAGGATCCAGGTTTAAAACACTGGAATATGTTTTACAGATGTTGACTTTGAAGGAAATTGGTTGCTCTGGATTTTATTTAGGACTATCTGACTCAAAGGCATCAAAACTGAATGCAGACCACAGTTTTCAGCCTTTGTATTTTAAAACCCTATAAAAGGACATCTTTCATTTTACTCCCATTTCAAATTATGCACTGCTTTGTATTGGTCCATCATTAGAAATCCCAATCAAATATATTCAAATATGTGGTTTTAATCAGAAACAAAATTAGGATAAATTCAAGGGATATAAGTACTTCCATAAGTGTGGAAGTACTTCCATACTTCCATGTGTGACGAACCAAAGAGGGAAACAAAAAGCGGAACCCAAATCAGATTTAGAGCTCGGGATTTCTTTTTAATTATTTAGAGAAGGTATGAGCCAAATGGGGGTTGCTCTGATGGGAAAGGCCTGCCGTGCCGCTGTCAGGAGGTGAAGGGATAAGCTCCCAAATGAGGGTTACACCCTGTGGTTGAGCTTTGCGGTGACCACATCCATGAATTCAAATTAGCCCCGGCTCTAAAGCAGTAGAAATCTGCCCAGCTAAAGTAAACAAAGAGGTAGTAAAATATTGTTTTTAAATTATATGACTGAGCATGTGTTAGTTTATTTTATGGGTCACTTGTTTGAATGACTGAGAGCGAGCTATTTCACAAAAAGTGAAAGAAAAACAAATCCTGCTCTCCATGTTTTCTCATTTCAGGATCAAACTCAGTTTGATCTCAAATTAATGTTTGTGTCCTCCTATTACTTGTGTACACACAGGATGGAAAGGGGTTGACATGTGGTCAGAATTCATCTCCTCACTTTACATATGATTTTCTTTGCAGATGACCTCAACATCATGCAAACTAGTGCCATCATTTTTCCACTCGAAATGAACATGGAAAGATTTGTCTTTGCATGCACGGCGCAAGCGTAGTCAGTATATCTGATCCTTTTTATTAATCATCAGCATGACACCAGTCAGGAGCACCAAAGGCTCGTGTGCAGATTTATTTTTCTCTGACTGGGGGGGAGGAGGGCGTATTGTTGCTGCCATGGCACCGCCATGTCGGTGTACCCCCAGGCAACAGGAAATGTTTTGACTTTTTTAATAGCGAGAGATAAACGGTGCAATGATGGAACAGCTCATCAGCAAACTGGTGATCCAGTTGCTTCATGGAGAACAGGGACACAGAGTGAGACTCATTAGTGTGTGTTTGTCATCCACTTTGCTGCAGGATGAAGAATTAAAAGTCAGCTAGTGTAAATTATGTAAATTTTGACATCCTTTGCCCCATCTCTTGCACATAATATTTTCAACTGCACTAATGCATTTATTGTTTTATGTTTTTATTTACAGTTTTTAAATTAATTTCTAACACTTTTAAAAAATATTTTGTTTTAAAATGCTCACTTACTACTTTATGTAAATGTGTTTTTGTTGTTTTTTGTTTGCTATGAGATCTATCTCAGTAGTGTGTGTTTAAGTGTTTTTGTTTACATTTCCTTCTTGTTACTGTACAATGGTAGTAACTGAAAAGTGTCCCCACGGGTCAACAAATATGCTTCAATTTTATTGCCTAGTGTTATTATTACCATAATACAAATAGTCCATTTATTTATTTTATTTTATTTTATTTTATTTTTTATTTTTATTTATTTATTTTTTTTGGACTTTTGAAACTGCTGGACTGGAAATTGGCTGGATTGTGTATTAATGAATAATCCCAATGTAGAACATTAAACAAGTAATATTATAAGTGAAAATTATTTATTCTGATCACTCTATTTATTTTATAAATCTGATTAATATTATTACTGATTACACTTGATATTTAAATCAAGGATTAAGCTAAAAGACCTGCAACTTTTTGATGCATCGTTGCTCCAACACACCTGGATCAAATCAGAGGGTCGTCACCTGGTCTTTCCAGACCGAGAATTCAGCCATTTTATTCAGGTGTGTTGGAGCAGGGGTGCAGCTAAAGTCTGCAGAATAGTAGTTCTCCAGGACTGGACTTGAGCATCCTTATTTTAATGAATAATGAATTATTTTGAATGAGAAGGCTAAATTGCTGTGCTCTGAATACCAAATAACGAAATGACTTTACTAATAAACAACTGTCAAAAGCGGACAGCCTTGAAACAGGAAGCGATGTCTGAACTCTGAGAATGTTTCAAAGTCATCAAACTCAGCAGGAAGGCTGAAAAAAGATCAGCGAGGGGATTCAGAGATAATTCTTGATCCGAACCATGATCCTTTCAATAAAACCATCCAGACTCGTCATTTCCTCCTTCTCTTTGGCCACAGTAATTAAGCCTTCTACATACGTCACACAATGACAGCGCTGCCATCTCCATGGTAACATATCACCTCCATCTGCCACAAAGGCCTCTTGAAGATTCTGGGTTATTTTCAGAAATAAAAGATTGTGATTGTGATACCAACCAAAGGAAAGGCAAAAAAAAAAAAAAAAAAAAAAAAAAAAAAAAATCAGCAAGTTTATGTTGAAATGTTAATTAAAACAAGGCATCGGAAAATATTACAGAATGATTTATTATCAGTTTAATCCACCCGCATTTAAACGCTCAAACACTGACAATACCGTAAATGTGTTTTATTGAGCCTTTAAGGTTCAATAAAGGCTCCGTCCTCTAGATGGCAGCAGAGTCATGAAACAACAATCAACATGTATCTCCAGGAAATCTGGGTTTTTCTGAGAATCACTAAAATTGTCTCTTGTTGTTTGCATTTTTTTGTTTGTTTGTTTGTTTGTTTGTTTGTTTGTTTGTTTGTTTTTTGCCAAAACTACCTGCCTCAAGGGGCTTTGAGATTTTTTCTGAGTTTATGCTGGTCAGGTTGAGATTTGTGAGTGAAAAATGTGACATCTGGAATACCTCACATTATATTTTAATCTGAAAGAAGACAAACATGTATTCACAGGATCCAGAGATCATATCTACAACAAAAATATGTTTGTCTGAGGGGACCCAAAACACATCATCTATGCATTTCATATTCAATATGCATATTTTTCTCTTTTTAGCTGTTTTTTAGTGACAAGATGTATTTGAAATATCAATCACCATTTCTAATGATGAGATGAATTAAAGATAATACATTTTTATGGTTTATGTTAATTTTTTTTGTTGTTGTCTTTTTTTTCTTTTTCTTTTTTTTTTTGCTTTATTTGCTTGATCTGTGTTGTCTGACTGGTTAAAAAAATTATGAAATATTTCTGGTTGCAAATCATGAAATAGTTTTGTGTAGGTGGAAATTATCCTTAGTGGTAACTTCATCCACCAACCGGTGGTTAAAGTCCTGCAGCAACAGAGAAGCAGGGCGGCCCTCTTCTGTTGTCCTCTTTAGTAGAACTTTACCATTTCATTATATTCTACGTCCACTGATGCTTTTTCCTCCTGATTGCCTAGAGCTCTGGAAATGAGAGAGATTATTGTGTTTGTGCTGCAGAGGGCAGAGCTCTCAGACATTTCTCCCATTATGTCCTGGTCTCCTGTTAATTTAAACATGCAACCCTTGCTTAAGGGATTCAGAACGACAGTCAGTAATAGCTTCATGACTCCTCCCTATTCCAACTGTCACTCTCTTTAGCACGCGCACACACAAAACACTGGACCCTTCCAGAGGAGGAGTATCATCCACATGCAGGGTACTTTCTGCTGCACGAAGGAAAGTAACAAAACTAAAGCAGCTCATCTCAGTGATGCCCTGTGGATGAGGTGAATCCTTACAGATTTGTATCACTGTCTTTGCAGGTAAGATCAATCACTGTTGTAAACTTATCATACAACAAATTAGAAATATTTTTGCTGTCTGCTTGCAAAAATAAGATCAGACCATTGAATATTAGTATTTTAAAAAAATATGTTAGATTTTTGCCATATGTCAGTTGTAGTATTTGCTTGAATGAAAATATTTTAATTTAGGAAATCTGGTACATGAAAGCAAAGCTAAATGTTTTAGATCTTGTATTCTGCTTTGAACTAAATTGTTTCAGCGAACCACCAGGAACATATCCGGAGTCTGGATGCCCTAATTTTCCTGATTCCAGGGAGTCCCTCTTCATTAACTTGATTACACTTTAATAAAGAACATGGAGCTCTTTACTGCCTGCACAAAAAAAATCTAATATTTTTACCAAATGTGTTCCCTTTTTTATATAAATATTTTCCATGTTAATTTTATACTACTTCTTTATTCCTCTTTAGTTGTGGATGGATAAACTTGTTTCATGTTTCTTACACCTCTGAAAGAGGCTGCATCTCAGTCTGATGTTAAATTTCTCACTCATATTGACACCTCCATGAAAACTACGTAGAAGTGACATCTTATCTTTAATACACGATATCACAACGACACATGGACATTATCTGACGTCTCTGATCTCTAACCTGTCATAATATAACAGGTTGAAATAGATAAGGAATAAAACTTGTCCATCTTTATAAGCTGTGTGATGTTTTGCGACTCCAGATTATAGTGAAGGTTTCAGACCCTTGCCCTTTACTCCTGGGGCACTTCTGATAGCTCCCGAGAATTGAAATTAACTAGCCAATCACGCGTAGTTGCTACGAGAAATTAATAAATATTTGGCCAATCAGCATCGCTGAATTTAATGACTTTGGGGCACTCAGAATTTTGCCACAGTTTTAGGTAGCTATGGTGATAAAGTTGATAGGGACTACGACAGAGAAGACGAAACGTGACTGAATTTTCCATCTTGCATGACATTGCAGATGATTTTACAGATGACGGGTGAGCTACAGCTTCTGTTTTATTAGTTTGAACTTCCATGTTGTTCTATTTTGTTGTTTACTTTTTCTGTTCATTAGTTGCCACCAGTTCTTTTGTTTTACGTCATGCTTATTTACGGTAGCTCTGGTTAGCATTGTGCTAATGGTGCTCTGGATAAATGTATATTCTTAATTGTTAATAATAATGTTGCGCTTGTAATGCTGGACAACATGGCTGAAAAAAGTGTCAAGATATAATCGTTTCATATCAGTCGACATTAATTATTGATTCGTTTTTTTTTTCTGTTTGTTTGTTTCAAATATCTGAAATATTGACAAATTAATGGCGTGACTTTCCGATTCTGTCCACAGTTTTCACTCCACCCAACAGTTTATTTTTAAGCAGCTTCTGCTCAAGTTACTCAACAGATTGTTGCTAGGTAACCAAAGAGAGAGTGAGTAGTTTATTTCATAGACATAGTATTCATGTCTATGAGTTTATGTCACCAATTTAGCTTCGCTAGCCTTGAGAGGTTGAGCGCGGTTGAGCGGCTCAAGTCTTTCCTCTGCCTACATCCCCCAGAATTCTGTGCGGTTTGTTTAGCACAGTGTGTTAGTTCTTTTAAGTAGGAAGGCCTTTGCTGTTAACCACCACACGAAAAAATACCATAACTTTATTATTTTCAAATTCTTTAAAATTGTGTTTATTCTTAAAAATCCCAAAATATCATTACAATTCACTTGATGTGCACCTATGAATTATATAAAGTACAATGTTTGCAAAATATACATTCATTAAAATAAATATGTAGATGGTAAACTGACTTTACATCACTTATGCACATGAAATTAATACATTTAAAAAAGCAAAAAAAATTAATCAATCGAGATTTTTTTTCTAAGAGAAAATTAAAGATTATTTAGAACAAGTAGTGCTTTTGAAACTTTGTGTTTTTATAAATCGTACGTTATTCATAGCTTTTGCTTTTGTGCAAAAGAACTGCTAATTGTGCCTGCCAATGTGTGGGAGTCAATTACTCTGAATTGCCTTAATTCCCCAGCTCTTTACCCTGCTATTATGGTTTGCCTTAATGTGACTATTTCACTCAGATAAATTATAATGTCTGTTTGGTTTAGCTTTATTAGTTTTCAAACTTTATAACCAACTTAGTGCATCCATAAGCAGATTATGTGTGTACATGTACAGTACAACTCTAGACTCCAAAGCACTAAATTCCCAAAACATTTCTCTGTCCTGTTATATAAACAACTAATTTTATCTGTGACAGAATCGTCCCAGAACCGATCTTTGATGAGTGAATGACGAAGTTAGAGATCCTGTAATGAAGTTTCATCTTGCTGTAAGAGCAGGAAGAAAACGTCTCTCAGGTACAGTACGATGTTCTCATGAGGCCTAATGGAGTCACTAACAGGGTTTTAACAGCAAGCAACAACCTTGATTTTCTGATCAGCATACAAAACATAATCACATTGTTTATAGGTTGCATCTCTATTCCTGCTGCTTTTTCTAGCTCAACAACAGCTGTAGTGTTAGTTCACAGAGTAGAAGAGAGCTCATTATTTTTTGTTGATTTAAAACAGTTAAACCAGCCCTGTAGAAATGTATTAATGGAAGCGTCTCTATGTTTTATGCAGAAGCTTTTATGCATGTCATCAAACAACACCATGAGTGCCTTGATGTTACATGTGGGTCGCCCCAGTGGAAATATGTTTGTATGCCGTATGACATAGTCTTTCATAACTCAATTAAAACAGCTTGTTTCACAAGCTGTTTTAATTGCTTGTGAAACAAGCAATTAAAACAGCTTTTTTAATTCTTAAAAATCTCAAAATATCATTACAACTCACTTGATGTGCACCTATGAATTATATAGGTGCACATCATATATATAGTATATAGTATATATATAGTATGCTGTTTTTTAATCCAGTATATATATATAGTATGCTGTTTTTTAATCCAGTTTTATTTTGGTGTGGCTCATGTAAGTGCGGCCTAGTAAACACACCGGTTGCAGCCTTTATTCCTGTCAAACCTGTGTGTTCTGCTTATGTGGGCCTTGCTTGTTGAAACACTCCCATAGCCTGCAGGTCGTTTATAACCCGAGTGCAACACATAATGATCTGTGAAAACAAACACGACAAAACATGAAGGAAAACCTAAACACAATGATTTATTTTCCTTACAATCTCTGTCATTACCAGGGATTGTGCAGAAATGACTGAAGCCTGAAGTCTCTCTGAGCGCGACATCAGCCAGGATGGAGACTGCGAATGCGTCTTCCATCGTTAACATGACTGGTGACAGACACACCGGCCTCTTTGCAAAGAGCCCATACAGTGTAGTGGAGATAGTGTTCATCCTGGTGGGAGCTTTACTTCTTAGTATTATCACTACCACCGGGAACCTCCTGATCATGCTCTCCATAAAGGTTGGGGTCTTCCTTTTTTAAATCTTTCATAATTAATGAGTCTGACTCAACCATTCATTCCTGCACACTTTGAAAACATAACCGGACTTAGAGATAAGAATACAGCGTGTGTTCTCCTGTGCAGGATAATCTAATAGGAACGAGAGAACATACATCATACTGCACAAAAAAGATTAGGATCTGACAGCCTGCTCCGTGTCATTGCTTTAAAGGTAAACAAGAACCTGAAGACCGTCGGCAACTACTTCCTGTTCAGTTTGGCCTGTACAGACCTCTTTACCGGGGTCTGCTCCATAAACGTTTATGCCACTTACCTTGCAATTGGTTACTGGCCTCTGGGAAAGTTGGCGTGTGACCTTTGGTTGACTGCTGATTATGCTGTCGGCCACGCCTCAATCCTGAACCTGCTCCTCATAAGCTTTGACCGGTACTTCTGTATAACCAAACCCATGACCTACCCAGCACATCGCAGCCCAAAGATGGCCAAGATGTTGATCTCTGCGGCCTGGATCCTGTCCTTCGTTCTCTGGACTCCCTTAATCTTGTTCTGGGACTATGTAGGACCGAGATCTGTGCCCTCTACTCTATGCTACTGCGAGTTCATCTTCAACCCATGGGCGACGTTCGCGACTTCCATCTTATTTTTCTACCTGCCGTTGTGCATCATGGCCTACCTGTACTGGCGGATCGTGAAGACCAGCTATGATAGCTCGAGGAGGAACAGCAGGAGACCATCAGGTGGAAGTTTTTCAGATATTGTCTCCATCCCAGAGGAAGGGATCACAACCAAACAAGAGGAGGAGGATGGAGATGTGAAGGAGAAGGAAATGTTGCAGCAGCGCAGTGTAGTTTTCAAAGAATTGCAGGCAGACCAGATGGACTCTGAATCAAAGACTGTCAGTGCTTCGACTTCCAGAAGACCTAGCATATTAAGGAAGAGTTCAGCTGTGAGTAAAATTCCAACACAGACACCATCTTCACAGAATTCAGCTACCGATTTAGAGAAATCTGAGACAGGAGGTGTAGTTTAAGTGACCAACCTTAGAAGCAATCAGTTGTAATTGTAGCTAACTGAGTTCGTGAACCAGCAGAACTCAGACTCAAAAATTAAATTCATAGCATCACATAGTAGCTGTCGTAACAAAACAGTCTAACTATGAAGATTGTTCTTTGCACCAGCTCCTTAAAATCTGTTAAAACAATTTAAAATCCTTGAATTTATCTATGCTGAAACCATTTAGTCGTTGTCATTCTGAATAAACAAATGTTACATTTCTAAATCAGTGCTTTGTTATAATATTAGCATTTATGGGGCCCCTGAAGGCCAGGGGGGCCTTAAGGAGCTGCTGACTTAATTTGGATTTAACAGAAGTGCAAATAATTGATATTTTCTGATTTGTTGTTTTTAAGACTATTTTTGTGGGTTTAAATATTGTCGACAATGTTTTCTAGTAACATAACGACCCAGTAATATTTTTACATTTCCTGTCAACATCAACAAAAACATGGTGGGCTGTTGGTGGAACGTCTCGGCGCCTCGACAATCCCTGTAGCAGTGCGACAACTTTATGTTAAAGTGGGTATTGAGAGTCAGACCCTAAAGAGTCTACTATAGTTGGTTTTGCTCAGTTTACACTGCCAAGTTATGACTAAAAAATAATTTCTAAAATTGTAGTATGTGTTTACCTATTCAAGTTAAAATCTGCAGTAAAAGAAATGAGTTAAAATCTCATACAGTAAGTAATTTACTTAGTTTTGTAGTAGCCTTTAAACCTTTTTTAAATATTCTTCATTTGTAAATACTTGACATTTGTTTGTAGAGGAACAATTATTATTCATAATGCGGTAAACAAGAAACAAACACAACTTTGGAACCTAAAAATAGTCAACATGGAAACCTTCATCTTCTCCTCTCTTCCCTCAGGTTTCTTATCGTAATGTGAGCATACAAATTCTGGATAAGTGGAGAAGGAGGTACAGTACTACCAGGGAGAAAAAAGTGACCCGCACCATCATGGCCGTCATGATTGCTTTTATCGTCACATGGACGCCTTACAACGTGGTGGTCCTTGTCTTCACACTCTGCAACGCCTGCGTCCCAGATACACTGTGGGGCGCAACGTACTGGCTCTGCTACTTCAACAGCACCGTCAACCCCGCCTGCTACGCCCTCTGCAACGACACCTTCAAGATCACCTTCAAGCACCTGCTCCTCTGCCAGTACAAGAACATTCGGGGACAATGGTTGCCCGCCTAGAACTGAGCTGAAACTCACAGACTCCTTTAATGAAAATAAAGGCGAAAGCTGAAACAGCCAAAAATGGGTTCTGTTGGTTCCTGCGCACCTTCTTTTAAAGCATGGAAAATTGTTTGTGTACTTTATTATACTTTAACAAAGACCTGCTACTGTTTTTAATTCCCAAAAGATTTTTTTTTAGCTCTGTGGAGTCTTATTGTGAGAGGCTTATTTTGTCCCGGTTCACCTCTGGAGTCCATTGATTGTAATGTTTAAATGTGTACACTAACTATATGCATATGAGTCTTGTGACCTCTATTTTATTTAGAAATGAAAGTGAGCTGGTCTGGTTCAACATCATAAGCAGCTTCATAATCTTCCAAGTTTCAGCTCTGGAGGTAAACGGTGGAAAAAGAACTGTTGTGCCCTCTAGTGGATCTGAAGCTGCGTCATTGATACTTTTTCCCTCAGAAGCTAAATAATGGAGGCCTGAAAATTAAACTTTGGGCTGCTTTATCCTGTTGCAGCACTAAAAATAAGGGATATAAATTTGAATCAAAAAATTCCTCAACACAGATTTAGAGCTCAAGTGGAATCTGTGCTGACACAAGATCTATTAAAAAATGTGGACTTCATAGAGGAGTGGTGAGAAAAACAGCCAAAACACAGCAAACATCTGACTGGAGGAGCTCTGGTCAATGAAGCCACAGTTTAAATTTTTACATGCACACTTTTCACATGACGTTAATGACGTAATCCTGACAGAAAACCTGTTAGAAGTTGGTGAAAACTTCAAACTTGGTTTATAAGATAAACAACAACATGCAACCGGAACCACTTCACAGATGAGCGCCAGCTACTGTTGGTCAATCACCTTTCCAATAAAGCTCATGGTTGGATTAAGACCAATGTGAAGTTTAAGGGCTGTGGATACTTTTGCAAAGCTTTGCATGAGCTACAAGGCATACTTTTACTGACAAAAAGCTCCGAAGTTTAATAATATCATATTAAATGTTATGTGTCAGCTTAAGGCTGTCTTATTAATCAGTGCATGTTGAGCCAGCACCGTCTAATCTTCCCATCTTGGTGTGACAGTCGATCGACATGGGACCTCTATTGCTCTATTGATGCTTTTGGGGTTTATTGTAAGCAAAAGAGTCACCATACCTGTTTGTTTAAGATGCCTCCCTCTGTCCATGTGGCTCCAGTCTTAACACTCTTATTGTGTTTTGTGCCAATGTTATCAACATCAACACTGGAGCAAGAAGTAGCTCTGCAAGTCCAGAGAGAGCACAACCAAAGATCTGTCGGTTCAAATGTGAACAGAACCATTAACGGTGGGCAGATCACTGCGTATAACAGCTTAGTTTTGTTATGAGTAAGACACGATTATACTAATCAAAGTTATACTTTTCTGTAAGAGGACACAGATCAGTATTTACCCTGTACACACTGCATCAAGGACCAATTATCTGCTCTATAGTTTGTCAAAGTGACCAGACAGTGCTGCTGTTTGGGGTTAACACATGTCTCGCAGGGGGAAATATGATGTGGGTAAAGGACGGAGGGCGAGCAAACCGAAGTCACTTCATTCCAGCAGAGCACAGGGGTAATGGCGAAGGACAAGAACCAGCTCCTGGGTGGACCTGGCATTACCCGAAGACTTTCCAGAACTGTACACAGAGGAGAGAGCTGAAGAGGAAGAGGAGGACACAGAAGAAGCTGCCAAAGACAGAGCAGTAAAATGCAGCCCAACTCTGCTGAGGATGCTGAAGGCAGCAGAGAGCAGGTGGACGCCTCATTTCAGAGACAAGGCAGAACCGTCCGAACTGTGGCTGAAAGCCACCGAGGCCGAGGCGTTGAAGACAAACATGGTGAGCAAAGAGCTTTTTTTAATTGCCTGCTTATAATACAGTAGCGTAGAACATAACGTGCTCCTGTAATCACACTCCGTGGATCTGCATCTACTCAGACGGTTAATGATTTCAGACACATGCTGCAGGCCTCTAGAATGTTTCACCACATGCGTCATTCGCTCTCTGATAAGACAGGACTCTCACTGGTGTTGAGAGTACAAATCAAATGAAAGAAATTATTTTTAATGCTTTTGTAGAAAAAAAAAAGACAAAAGGGTTTGGATCTTGTCATGATGGGGCTACAGGAGTTCCTATGTTCCTATGCCAACAAAAAGATGCATAACCTTTCATTAATGTGTGATATTAAATCTGAATACTACATTCAGCAAATTTAGAGGTTTAGACACATTAAAAAAAATTAGAAAATCCCAGATTATGTTGTTCTTGATCATGTCTGCTTCTTATAGATCAATTTATAATATTTTAATTGAATGGAGGTAGTCCTGAGAATGTATTTTATGGCAACACCTTAAACTCAGCGCTTCCTTTTTGTATTATCATACTCAAGCGAAGTTTACGTATTACACAAACATGGGAAAATCTAACCATCGTGCAGTTCAGAAAGTAGAAGTGTTTTGTGAGCCAGAGATAAACATGATTTGGTGATTTTAAAAAAAAAGCCATATAAACCCCAGAACAAAAAACAAGTGGCACATTAAAATTGCAATTGTATGTATATTCCCTTAGATTGCAATGAACAGCACGGCAGATTTTACATTAAGAAAGGCAGAAACACTATTATTTATCCCTCTGTGGGGTATTCAGACTAAACCAAATGTTTCAGACGTGATCTTCAGGAATAAGAGTGATTGTAGTCAAAGGAGAAAATGCATGTGAGCAAGATGGCCTGCAAACCTGCTCTGTCAGGAGGAACAGAGCAAATCTCCATAAAATTACTGTGAGAGTCGTGTTGAAGGACATGCCTTTAAAAAGTCATACAGTTTAAAGACCTTTCTGCTAAACAATAAGGAAATGAAAGTAAAATGACCTCAAAAATCTCTACAATAAAAATTCAAATCTACGTTCTTCATCAATACCATTTAAGATTCACAACAGCTTCAAACATGTGGTACAAAACAATTTAAGCTCTTCGGTCTCGTTTAGAGTAAATAAATAAAGTAGCAGGTATTCTTCTGAATGCAACAACAGTTTGTAGTTTTGTTCTTCACTTTGTCCCGCTTCTCTCAGCCAGTAAGTCTGTCCACGTCCATCTCTGTCGTCTCTTTGTCCGCCGAGAGCAGAGTTCTCTCCAAGCAACATAATCTTATTCACCTTATTCACGCTAACGCTACTCCTCATCTTTTCCTGAGCCTCCTCTGCTTTGAGTCCACAAAGAGTTCATTATTTATTCCCTCTGTCCTCTGTCACCTGTTGGGCGTGGGCGTGACGTAAAGTTTTGGCTCAGTGAAAAGTTTCACAGTGTCGGCTTGCAGCTCTGTGTGGCTGTTCAGGGACACGGTGGGAGCGCTCGGCACAACATGAAGAAAGTGTACAACCTGGTGAACATTTCTAAAGCAAAGGAGAAGGAGACAGTGCATTCCATCTGTATCACGGTACCACAGCTTCTTCTTCTTCTTCTTCTTCTTCTCATGGAGGGTCAAGGCTACAAATAGGACAGATTCATAAGCTGTTTGAGTGTTTGTTTGTTCATATAAAAACACCCCAGAGTTACTGTCTGAAATGAAATGGATTCATGTAAAATTATTGTTTCACTTTGGGTTAAATAATCTCCAGTTTTTTTACAGTAGCTGGCCTGGATTCAAGTCTTTCTTTATTTCTGGATCATTAAGTTAACTTTCAAGCTGCTCCAAGTCACAGCTTAATGTCTTTCTGTGCTAAAGATTAAGCGGTAGCTCATCAAGAGTCATCTTATTAATGGGGGAAATATTCAGGAGAACATGTGTCTTCCTGCAGCATGTTTAAGCAACTTTCTTTAACTTTGATTTTAGCGCCGCAGCGAAGAAGTTTAATTCAGATTTTACATTGCATGGGTGTAAAATCCATGCATGGATTTTACACCCATGCATGGATGGGATTGTTTTTTATTTGAGGACAACATCAGAATAGGGTAAACTATGGTTTTATATTTAAAATAAATTTGACAATGATTAAACATGTTTACAGCAGATCATCACCAGGCACATTTATTGGCAGCCCTGGTTCTTTTGCAGGGATGTTTTGGGAGTTAAAATCATCCAGTCTTGTCTGTCTTTTGCTTTGCTTCAATTGCAGACATGAGAAAATTTATTCAATTTTAGATGCTTCTCCAACTCTATTTCCCAAACTGAGATGTCACAATGAGAATTATTTAAAATTTTACGAGGTTTTCTCAAAAATTGACCTACCTGCAGGGCATGAAGTCAAAGATCTCAAATTTTATGAGCAGACACGGATTAATGCTCGGGGAGGAGTGTTAAGGTACAACGAGGCAAGCTGAGAATAAAATACAGGGAAGCCAGATGATGAGATATCATAAAGAGGTTCTAAGAATCACAATTAACATACAGTAATTTGGAATAATGCAGAAGCTGGGAAGGGTTTACAAGTATCACAAAGAGAATGTGGCGAAAAAGCAAAATGAGTAAGAGGAGCGAGATCAGGAAAGACTTCAGACTGCACGAAACAAAACATGAGGAAAACTCACATCATAGATTTGCACTGTAGCTGTTCAGGTCTTGTTTTTGAAGCAGGTTTTCTCTCTGCTTCAGTCTCCTCTTGGTACAGTGTGAATCCTTAACTCGTGTTACTTTCGAGTTGATTCTTTGAAGTCGAACACTGTTGGGGTTTTTTTTTTACGTAATTTCTGACGTATTTCGCTTTGTCACCGAGAGAAAATGCAAATTCCTTCTGACTGCAGAGTTTCCAGCTGTAATCCTCTAAAACGTGACCCCGATTTAGTTTTTGAAGGTGGGTGTGTCTGTGATGAAGAGTGCATAAAAATCTGCACAGTGAGGCGAGATGAATACTGGAACGAGGGGAAGTAAGTAGAGGAATAGTAAATGTTTGAGCTTCAGGATCAGGCAGAGAGAGGACATGGCCAGGTGGGATTCATGTGACAGCAGCTCAGCATTTGAGCATGCACAGCGGATGGTGAGGAGAAACAGCTAATGTTAATGAAGTTGTGCTAATTTACTGATTACAGTCCTTACGTGGCCTGTGGATGTTTTTATGT